TAAGCCTAAAACATGCTCTAACAAGGGCTAACAACCTAAGGCACATTGAGGCAATAACATGGCATTACATGGTAGGTATGCTAAGCATGCATGGTGTACCAAAACCAACAAAAATCAGAGGTATAATATGACATATTAAGCACAAAAAATGACTAAGGCATGGTCAACATGAAGCCTAGCTAGGTGCTCTCTCAAGAGGCCAAAAATGGTCCATTTTAAGGACAACAAGGAGAGGGGGTGGCCCTCTCCTTTTGGAGACTTCAAGGCATCATCTCCATCACTAAAATCCCTCAAGATTTCAGTGGTGAAGAGGCCCAAACACCAAAGTCTCGAAGCTTGCTCAAAATGGCTCAAAATGGGGCCTTTCAAGGCCTAGGAGGGGTCAAACACCTCCAAACCACAAAACACCCTTAATAAACAATCAAAAGGGTCTAAAAATAGAACTTTTTTGTATTATACACTAAGCTCAAAAATGATTTTAAGATAGGTAAAAACAAGATGCAAAAATGGAGAATAATGGGACTAGATTCTCACCCTTGAAGACCTCTTCAACAATGATGCTCCAATGGCCTTCCTTGGCTTGAATCCAACACCAAAACACTAAAACCAGTCCCTTAGAACCTCAGGAGCCAAAGGAAGGTGAAAGTGTTTGTGTGCAATAGTAAGACACAAACACACTTTAACACACACAAGAGGGAAAAGGAGAGAGATAATGTGTATCAAACCCTAACCCTAGAACTCAAACCCTAAAAATGGCTGTCTAAGCTCTCTAAAATATCTCAAGTGACTAACCCTTGCAACAAGAGAGAGCCCCTCTCTTTATAGAACTTCTTGTCTTGTAAAGCTTACAAGACAAGCTTCATAAGAGGGAGATCCCTCCATACACGTGTATGGAGGGGAGCCAAAAACAAGACAGCTGTCTTAAAATATCTGCAAAAGCAGATGCACAGTAGTCGGCCGGCCAAAAATACCATTTTGGCAAAAAAGAGTGCCGGCCGGCAACAAAAGGTGCCGACCTGCAACAAAAAGTGCCGACCGGCAACAAATAGTGCCGATAGCAGCAAAAGCCAGCCGGTGACCTCTAACCACTGCCGGTGGTGTGTGGGGATGCCTCACAAGGCATTCCTTGCCCCTCCAAGGCAAAACACAAGTGTTTGGTGCAAAACCAAACACTAAACAGTCGAGTTCGGAGATCTTGAGGCGAGGCGCGCGAGCCGAGACCTCCAGGAACTCCAAACGAACACAAACATGGATAATCACTGAGTGTTCAAACGATGACGTCCAAGTCTTGAGGACGGTCAAAAATGGGGTGTCTACAGCCGTCCTTGTAATGATAATCCATTGTCACGCGGGTTGATCAGTAAGATTGGGTGGGTGGGTCATCGAGCTTACTTGCCTGATAACCACCTTTGGAGGAAAGACAAGAAGTTTGATGGTTTAACTAAGCTTAGAAAGAAATCCTTGGATTTACCGGTGGAAAAAGTAATGGCTCAATTGGATCAATTGTGGGAAGTCAAGTTTGGAAAGGATCCTACCAACAAGAAAAGACCATGAGAGTCTGAAGAATTGAATTGGACAAAGAAAAGCATAATGTGGGAGCTACCGTATTGGAATAAATTAAACCTCCGACACAATCTTGATGTCATGCACATTGAGAAGAATATTTGTGAAAACTTTTACGGGACGATGTTGGCCATAGATGGGAAAAACAAGGACACGCACACAAAGCACGTGATGATTTGCAAGAAATGGGCATAAGGCAAGAATTGCATCTACAGAGGAAAGATAACGGATCCGTTGTAAAGCCTCGGGCAGCCTACACATTGGATTCTCGACAAATAGATGGTTTTTGTGAATTCTTGAAGTCTATTAGTTATCCAGATAGCTATGCAGCAAAGATCTCAAGATGTGTGACTTCTAAAAATGGAAGATTATCGGGCATGAAAAGCCATGATTGTCATGTCCTGCTTCAGCGACTTCTACCAATTGGCATGCGTGGTTTTGTGAACAAGGAGATCTGTACAACACTATTTGAGTTGGGCAATTTCTTCCAAGAACTGTGCTAAAAAACATTAAGGCAGACTGATTTGGAAAAAATGGAGGAACGAATTGTGCTCATACTTTGCAAGTTGAAAAAAAAATTTCCTCCAGCTTTCTCTGATGTGATGGTCCATTTGGCTGTTCACTTGCCCTGTGAGGCCATGTTTGCTGGACCGGTGCAATATCGATGGATGTACCCGATCGAAAGGTAATCATTATGAACATATGGTTATTTATTAATTTGTTATAACTAAACTATTGTGCAAAAATCCACTCGTAAAAGACTATTGGTTAAGAAGTAATTTTCTTGCATCAAGAAGCATAATTTTCATTGTCAATTTTTGTTGAAGGTTTCTCGGGACTTTGAAAGGGTATGTCAGTAATAGAGCACGTCCAGAAGGTTCTATCGCTGAGGCTTACATTTCAAAGAGTGTCTTACTTTTTGTTCAATGTACTTAAAAGGGATTGATAAACCTGAACAAAATGATGATGGTGGTGAACGTGGTCCCGGGATGGAGGTCTTCACCCAAAATGCTCGTCTATTTTCACCTATCACAAGGGCTCTTGACCCTTCGCAAAATGAATGAGAAATGGCTCACTAGTTTGTGTTGTACAATAGCTCTAAGGTGGAGCCATATATTGAGTATGTATTTAAGTTTAACTACGTTTATGCATAATCCTTCCATTTTGTTTCAAACTCTCTATGTTAATTATGTATATCACATTTCCTTGGGTAGGGAGCAGAAGAATATTTTACATAATCTACAAGGACGTGACATAACTCGGTATAACGAGAAGAATTTCCAAAATGGTTCAAAAATCATGTAAGATATACTAAAGAAAATAACTGAATACAATTGTTGAAACTTTCAATTCACATTAACTTAGTACACTTGTTATATGGTGTTTTATGTAGATGAATGATTTGCGAATGAAAGGGTCACCTGAAGCAATTGACGAATTGTGGTCATTAGCAAATGGTTCTGGATCGGTAATTGACTTTTATTCTGGGTGCATCTACAATGGAATTCGATTCCATACTAGAAACCGTGAAAATCGTCGTACTTGCCAAAATAGTGGGTTGGTCGTAGAAGGGGACCATAATAGGAACCAAATTAATTTTTACGGCTACTTGTGCAAAATATGGGAATTGAAATACTTGCATGCGGGTATAGTGGTTTTGTTCCAATGTGAATGGTATGACACCGGTCACAAGAATAGAATATACTCTGATGAACATGTCACAAGTATTGATGTTACAAGACTTTGGTATAAAGATGACCAATTTGTTCTACCTAGTTAGGTAAGACAAGTATTCTACGTCAATGATACCAACAAAGGCAAAAATTGGAGAGTCGTTGAACGTGTTAAGCACCGGGGAGTGTGGGATATACCAAAGTGGGATGATGTCTCTAATGATGCTTTTCAACAGGATGAAACCACTGATGGTGTTGGGGTAGTGATCCAAGATAATGATGTTCAATACAGTAGGGATGATATGGATCCTGAGATCATGTTCAATGATCAACTAATAGCAAAAAATTTAGTTCACAATGATGACGAGGATGACACAATCATAGAGTCTAATGATGATGAAGATGATGAACTGCATAGACAACCTGATGTTGATGCAGATCCTGATATAGATCTTGATATAGATTATGATATGTAGTGTTTGATATAGATCTTGATGTAGATTATGATATGTAGTGTTTGATTTTTAATTATATGGACAAGTGTTATAATTTAATAATAAATTGCTTGGCTTACATTGCATGGCATTGTTTTTCAAATTTCATAGCATTGTTTGTTATTTCATTTCATTTAATTATATGCCATATGTACAGTTACAAAGATGTCCAGAAACGGTAAATCATTTCTAAAGCCCGGCGGCATAGTCTAGAAGATGATGAAATATGAGAAGGATAGGAAACAAAACAATCCAGAAAAATAAAATCAGATTTCATGCTCTAGGGATAAAGTCCCTCAAGAATTCAATGCTTGGTTCTATTGAAAAGGACAATAGTG